CATATATATATATATATATATATATATATGTGTGTGTGTGTGTGTGTGTGTGTGTGTGTGTGTGTGTGTGTGTGTGTATATATTTTCTGTTTGCTACGTTACGAGTTCGATTATAAAAATCATTTTGTGTAATAGAGATATTTGCTGGATGTGCTTAGTAAATAAATTTTTATATCAATAAAATTCATGTGATGTATTAATTCAGAAATAAATTCTGTCAAATCAAACCTTACTGTAAGAAAAATATTGCTTTATATAATTACAGAACTAACATTGATACAACAACGCTAATTGAAATCGCTTATTTATTAATAGATCTATCTTTTATACATTAAAATACAGAAATTAAAATACACTGAAAAAAAAAATATATTATTCAATATCTTAATACTTAATAATCTTGGTCTTTTACACATGGTAGAACCAAGATATTCTATCGCGTCAAAATCGCTATACTTGACGGTATCTATTTAGATGTAAATGGTGAACATTGTATAGGCATGTTCCCCCATAGAAGTTAAATATAAAATGCGATATCTATCTTGACACTTGAATAAATAACCGCAACTTATCTATAATAACCGTGACGATCGCAATTGTCACCTGTTAAATCCACCAAATTGCAATGAGTGTAATCCTAATCCTCAACGTACAATTTATGTAGCTATCGCTGGAATTATCTATTCTATCTTACGAAAAAAATTTGTGTAATAAAACAGCTATTAATATTATTATAGGGATTGATCGTGACACTTGTACTTGTGAGTGTCGTCTATGTAAATCTGAAGAGGAATTATTATTTTAAAACACGCATATTCACACACAACTTGGAGTGCTTAAGTGCTTAAGTGTAACTCAAATCCTTCCGTGTATTTGCACATATTTCTACAAAGTAATAATCTTTTTCTCTCAGACAATGCTCTTAAATGCTAGACCTCGGCGAAGTTCGTACGTCAAAACGAAACAGAATGCGTAACTAGATTCTCATGTTTACGATTAAACGATGGTCACAAGGATGGAAACAAATTGCAAATAATATCCATCAATAATACAATACTGTCGATTTGCAATTCTATTGCACAAATAAATCGACATGTGAGTGCCGACGGCCTAAAAATCTACAAGCTCGTAAATATTTTTTTAAATATCGATCCTTTATGCGCGTGATCGTCAATTTGTACACTTCATAGTAGTTACTAAATTTAAAAAAATTATATATAATTGAGATTGTAACGTTTATTAAAACTATTAAAAAACTAAGCTCGAAAGTTTGGAAAAGAAAAACTGTTTTACCGTGCCGAAGACGTTTCCAAAGTTTGCCAATGGATAATTCCGATACGTCTTTTACTATATGCTTATACGATATGTACGTAGCGTGAAGTGACACTCGCTCAATGAAGAACGATCTTTGCATGATCAAACAGCTCGCGGCGAATCGCGCGGCGACGGATAAAATATCTCGAAGGAAAAGTAGAGCAAATAGTGTATTGTACGTGGTGGTTATTAGTAAAATTTAAGACCACCGTCATGAATAATTCAATTTTAAGAAGTAATGCCGGTTATGGTATTTTGCTTTACCCTAGACATCGATGAAAGTACAATATGCGTCGCGTCGATACTTTCTCGATCGAGACTCACTACTTGAGATGTTCCACTTGAACTAAGGAAGAACTAAGGATGCGGAGGCACGTATATCGGATAATGTTCTTCCTCGTTGGGCATCATCTGATGGCTCCTGTCGTGCCAGCCCTCCGGGGCGTGGTACAATCCGTAATTCACGTGGCTGGTGGCTATCTTCTTCAGGCCCTGTATACTGGACAGTATAAGAGCCATTTTGGCAAGAATCAGAGCTTTGCCGCCCAGCACCGCGAGGAATTGAAAACCCATCGGCACTAGAATCGAGCCCATCAACAACAGGCCCATCAACATCAACGGAAACATGTGACTCTTACGGCGGCGTCTTCGACCTGAAATTTGCCAAATTGACTTTAAATTTCATTTTGTTAGTCGCAATCCGTATTACAACTCACCTTGGACGATATTATTACTGTCTGGATTTTGCGCGGGGGTGTTGACGTTAAACATACGATCGATGTCGATTTTGACAGCGTGAGTCCGCAGAAGGTGTGTCACTCGATTCCAGATGATCGCCGACCAGCTGATGTCTTCCTCCTTCAATCCATCGGAAGAGTTGTCTCTGCCGAGAATCGCTGCGCGTGTAATCGCAATCGCAAATATGGTTTTACTCGAAGGGCTTGCAACAACGATATGCTAAATTGTAAAATGTGTGTCGTAACAACGATTGATTGATTTGACATAATCTTGGAATTCTTTTCCAATCGTGAAATATATTCTGCGAAATCAGTTCAAAAAAAATACGTCAATTTTCAATTGCAATTGTACCTATAATTAATATTATTTAATTGTAAATATACAATTGCAAATTAGTTATAACAGATAAGGTTTCCCATATGTTGCTTGGCACATCGTTATTCCAAACCCTTTACGTAATCAATTTACGTAATCAATTGTACAAAGTTTGTTGTAATATATGATATCTATTGCACTTTATGTAATTTCGAAAAAGCAAAAGAGCATCAGAGATATAAGTAATAAACCTTTTTTTTTTATACGTTTCCAATATCGTTGAAAATAATTGGAAGTTTTGGGTACAAGGTTGAATTTCAAGCATGCGGTAGATAACGCATTCTTCTAAAATTCAACGAATTCTGCTATAAAGAAATTACAATTTTACTGCAGCATTTTACCCGCTTCGATGCATACTGATCTACTGCAGCTTCGATGAAATTCCAACTTCTCTGACAATATCTTTCTGATCATTTCACATACCTTTATTTGAAGTTGTTATTGGATAGAATTTTATTTCTGATGTATTTCCATTGCATATTTATTTTTTATTCTGTGTAATTAAGTAATTGTAAATTGTGAAAACTAACTTACTTATATTCCGTATTGTTTTCATCGTTTGAACTAAGCCGTATCAAATTGATTCCATCGAATATCGTGATGACGTCATCGTCAAGGAGAGTATCCAAGGTGTCGATAGCTCTCTGTTGCACGCATCTTCTAAAAATGTCCAACAATTCATCCTGATCGGAGCTGTTCCGAGACATCGATGGGCAATTCTTGATTATAGATCGTAATCCAGAGAACCATTTTGTTTTATCGTCACAGTTGGCCCTTACAACCACAGTCAGTGCGAGGGCAAGGACGTGGAAAGCACGAGGGTGCATCTGCATTTAAATGTATATATATCTCTGTCAAGACCCATATTTATCATTGTGGGTTAATGTCACAGTTAACTAAATTTTCTCTTTCTTTCTTTTCTTTCTCTTTATACGGCATCTCTCATTTAAAAATTAACTTTATTCGTTCAGAGTTATTTTTTTTAAACTGCAAAGGCTTCTTTGGATGATTTTAGATTGATTTTCTTCTTTTTAAGTAAAAATATAACATTTGACAAAAGAATATAAAGAACAATTTAGAAAAAATAAAGGACGTTATATTTTTATAAGGGATGCGAATAATATAAATAACGTAAAAATAAAATTTAAGAAAAAAAATATAAAACTAATTGAAAGAGTTAAATGTATCACTTTTAAAAGAATATTTTGATATTATGAAATATTATTTTACACGCTTTTTTCTTTTACAAAATTTAAAATAATCCAAAACAGGGAAAGAAAGTTACAGAAAGAATAAGTTTTGAATTTTTTAAGTTGGATTATAGTCATAAAAAAATATATTTTTCAAATTTTTTCTAAAATTACAAAAATTTGAAATATAATTTTTTTTTCGTTTCACTAATAGAATTTACTTTTACAAAATTTGATATAAATAAATTTGAAAATATAATAAGTTCTTAAAGTAAAAAAAAAAACATTCTAAAATAAGTTTATTAGATAAAAATAAAATCATTAATAAGAAAGATATTTGATATTCATAATATTTATGATACATTTGCATGTGCGCGCGCTCCACTTTTCCCTTTGTCCTATTTCCTTGTCTCTCGCGCTAATCCACAAAACAATATCAGCTAGCTGTGTGTCAGTGTTACAATTACATATTTTATTTATTTCGTTTATTTTTTTAAATATATGCATATAAATTGTAAATTGAAAATAACAGTAAAAAATATTACAGCAACAAAAATACAAATTTCATTAAAAAGAGAAAAACAAGTTATATCGAATGTGACAGTTTAGCATGTAATGTCGATCTTTTTCGAGAACACTATTTAATCATTTTCTTAGTGGACTTTTTTATAAAATATTAATTATGAGAAATATTATTTTGTGGCATTTAAAAATGTACAATTTTTAAATTTTTTAATAATATATATTGCAAATTATTTTTGAATTTATATAAAAATTTTAATATATATTCTACGTTTCTACATTTTCTACGACCCATATTTTTACTGAGTAATTAACAATATTATTAATTAATACCGTACTTCATTATAATCAAGTTTCTTATACTTATCTTTGATCGCATATTATTTATTGAGCTTTTATATACTGCTGAAAGTATGACATCTCCAAGATATATTCATAAAAGATAGAAATTAAAAAACTGTTGTAAGAACACAGAACATCCGAAAAGGACGAGTTCGTTCCAAATTCACGTAAATGTCCATCGAGAATTTTTACCTGGAAAAATCAGCACTCCTCCGGGGACACTTCACCAACGGACACGTCACGGTGCACTGCGAAAGACGATCGTGCGGGCGGTGCATTGCATACATTTATACGTGCAGAAAATAGATTATGATGCCATGCAGGTAGTCATTACGAGTCATCGAAGGGCATCAAGGTAGCGGTCAAAAGGCGGCCGGACTTTACGCTCGACCGACCATTCTCCGCAATCGCCGGCAAAAACTATGTTAGTACCTACCGTCTACTGTATGACCATCCGAATACTACCATTTTCTTCTCGATGATGGATAGAATTCGTCGATTTCCGTCGCAGAAAATGTATTTCAAAATGTGATATACTTGTATGAACATATATATAAAAATTTTAAAGAAATTCTGTGAAAAATTTTAATGTCAATTATAATATACAAGGGGAAAAGATATGTATTTATATGCAAAAAATAACGAGGAGATAAAAATATTCTTTCTAGCGTGTTCGTTCTTTGATACTATTAAAATTAAAATTTCATATAAAATATTTGTCATCGAAACTGAAGGACATATTTAAATGGCTATATATATATATATTTTTAGATGAGACATCCCGGCTTTTGCTTTACATATAAATCAAATTTGTATTACGTCGCCAATATAAAAGTAGATGAACTAAAATTTCTAGTTTAATATTACATATCTTTCTTTGCAATCGAAATAGCAATTTATCAATAATATTACACATTTGGAATTTGTGAAAATATAGCTTAGTTTGAATTATAAACTCGATAGATACGCAAACCTATAATATATATAATGATATGTAATAATCACAAAAAAGATTTCAAGAATCTGTTTGATATAAAAATTTTATTATAAAAAAATTTGATGTTAATAACATTTAGAATAATTATCATTTTCTGCATACTAGCAAGATTATAGAAGATTAAATAATTAATCATTTATATCATTATATCAATTTTAGAATGTAATTAGTTTAATTAATCTAAATATACACAAAATGATAAAAATTAAATATCTAACTTATACAACAAATACAGCCTACAAAATCTTTTAAATTGTTAAGAAGAAAAATGCAACAATACGATGCAATTCTTAATAGTTTAAATAATTTAAAAAATATTGATCATCGTTATACAATAATCCTTCCTCATGTTTGTTAATTCAAAATAATTCACAATAGGATTTTTAATTAAAAATCTTAATTAAAATAAAATAATCTAAATCTAAATAATTTCTTTATTAATTTACAAAAATACCAGTCTTTAATGTTATATATACAAATTGTCAAACAGAGGAAGAAAGAGAAAGTGTAATATAACACGCGCATCTGCATGTGTTATGTTTTACATACATAAGAATTATAACTGCACACCGAATAATTGTCCTCCGGTATTGGTTCACAGTCGTCGTGACCATTTGAAATTGTACTCTCATTAGGCTTTGTTCCCTTAAGACGACACTTGTTTCTACCGGAAGTTATGCACAACTCTAGTAGAGCCCATTCTTCCGTCGAAATAAGTGAACTTTCTTCATTGAGAGAACTTATCGAACTATGGCGCGAAGGCATCGTGTTAGATTTTATCGTATTATGATTTTTACATGTGTAATCGTCGTCGTTTTCGATCCTATTAAAAGTCGGCACACATTTTACAACGCGAGATCGCAAGGGCATACAAAAATTATCAACGGTAATATTGTTCCGATTCTCCGTATGACGAAGCGGTGATCTTCGAGCGCAATGCGGTGAATTGTTTATTCTTTCGCGCGTAATGTTATCAGAGTTTTTTAACATCTGACCGGTCTGTGCTACATTACTGCTCGTTGCTTTCTCAGGAAAATAGTTAAAATTGCTAGGTACGTTTTTGGCAAAACGCATATCCGCTGTGTTATTAATATTCATAGATTTATATGATGATGAATATTGCATAGTGTTTCTAGGAAAATGAGCCTTGTTCGTAAAGCATGAAGACGAAGGAGTAGAGAAATTGCCCGTAGCTTTCAATGATGTTTCAGATTTTTTGGCTATAGATGCCACTGATGTTGATGGCATCGAATTTAAAGCCTGAAAATTAATTTGTATCATCATTCATTATTATATATATTGACAAAATATTTATTTTAAACATAAATATGCTATTGAATGTATAAAATATAAAACAGAAGACTATTCTTCCTGCTTTAGTAAAGTTCTCTGTACATACTGTGATTTATTAATTATATATGTGATTTATTAATATTAAAGTATATATATATATATATATATATATAGTTCCGAGTTTACTATGTATATAAACAACTTACTTTTGGCATTCCAGACCTAATACATTGTGCTAACATAATATCTTCCTCTTCTTCAGAAAGCTCAACATTATCTTCAAAAGATGAAAGCTTTTTCACTATATTTTTCCTTTGTTCCACATGTTTTGGCTGAAAAAATGTTGATGAAGTGGAAGATTGTATATTCATCGTTTTAGATTCCATAACTTGTGTTAATGGTAATCTGGTTGATAAACTAAATCTTGCCTAAAAAACAAAAATAATGAAAAATATAATCAATAACTAATTATCACATATAGAATATTCTCAGTACGCAAATGCAAATATTAATTTTTAAAATAACAACCTTTGGCATTGCAGACTGTATACATTCCGTCAAAATTGCATCATCATCTGAATGATTCAAACTATCATCAGAAAATTCGTCTGGATGTCTCAATGATGCACCACTTGGCGATTTAGGACTCAATATAGAATTTTTGTTTCCATGATTTGTCTCAATGGGTGAAGATGATGGTGTACCATATATGTTAAATTTATGCGGCAGTGTTTCAGATTTTTTAACAAACGAGATGCCATTTGTTGGCGGTGGAGTTATTTGCCTCGCCTATGAAATAAAAATAATAATAAATTAATTTTAATAATGTGACTTATGTCACATGTATTTGATATATATATATATATATATCAAATATATACACATATATATATATATATATATATATGTGTATATAATTATTGTATCTTTAAATCTCGAATACAAAATTGTTTTTTAAATAAGTTTAGTTTCCACAAATAAAACTATTAAAAATAATTGAAAGAAAAAAAAGGGAAGATAATAAAAACTAAGAAAAATTTAATACCTTAGGCATGCCGGATTGAATACATTCATCTAATATTTTTTCATCTTCACCCGAAAGATTAGAATTTTCATCAAACAAATTATTTCTGTGGCAATCAATCTCAGTTGATTTGTCTTGCTCACATATAATCTCCTCTTGTACACTTGGCATTGAAAGAGCAGATAGATTGGAGTGAGATCCTACTGGAGAAATATCAGCAGGTGTATCTTCCGTACAATACACGTGTACAGTGTCTGAAGTAATCATCTCCATCACAGTTCTATTTGTTTTTGAAGTATCAACAGGCTTAACAGGAGTTGTATGTGATTCTAATCTGCTTGGAATAGAATTTTTTTTATATAATGCTAAGATATTTGTTGATTCCGATTGTATAGATTTCTGAGAATCAAGTGTTTTTAGAGACTGTCTATACCTGTAAATATATATGTATCATTTGTGTTGTATTATTATATTATCTAATAAAATCTTCTATGGTATATTACCTATTGGTTTGCATTCCCATATTAATACAAGCAGCCAACATATCCTCATCATCTTCATCACCATCACTTACTTGTTCCTCTTTTACATTACTGTCCGAGTTATTTATTGTCATATTAAGCATATCTGTCTCAAGTCTATGAATATCTTTATTACTTGTATCAAATACTTCTTTCATTGCACAATATGTTTTGGTATTGTCAGGTATCTTGACTTCATCATCAATTGTAAGAGAGCTTAGACTGGTCGCACTGGAAAACTCAATTGGTGTCGATTCTTCCTTAAAAGTAGCAATGTCATCTTCAAAAACACTATTTCTTATGGTGTCTTGTTTAGGAAATACTGTAACAGATATAAATGTTAGATAATCTCATAGGCAATATTATTAAACGCATGTTATTACTATCATATTGGTGATTAATGTTGCATACATAAATGTCGAACTGATGGTCTTACTGCTTCTTCTTGTATCTTTGATATAAATTCTGTATTTTGAATTTTATGATTACGTGGACTGGGTAAAACAGTTTGTGTAGGTGAATCTGGCAGTTCACTGGGAGAGACTACACCACTAGTTCTACGACTAAAGAAATAACAGAAAATAACATTATTTTTTACACAACTAAATGTTTAAAGCAATATTAGATAAAAATATTTAATATTTTTTTTAAACAGCAATGTAATTTACCTAAAATCACTGATTACAGAACTGCGATCATCATGGATGGAATATTGTTCAAATCCACTTAAAGAGCCCAAAGAACTACAACGTGAAAACATTAAAGGAGTTTCTTCTGCATAGTAATCTTGACCACCAAATGTCACCATTTTTCCTAAAATGTGCATAATATTCTTTATATTCTTGTAAGGTAATAGATTTAAATATATATTTATTTAAATTATATATTGATACTTTTTTTTCATACCTTCTTTATCTAATACACGTGGACTATTCTTGTTCTCAGAAGAACTATCGCTTACCGAAGATAATTCTATTTGATTACTACTCAATCTTACAACATTATGATTATTCTCCAATTCTTCTTTATTTGTAGGAGGAGATAAATCTTCTTTTGATATAACTCCTGTAATATTATTCTGAGGAGTCATTGCACTACTCAGAGAACTAAGTGAATTAGCACGTGAAAAGCCACGCGATGTTTCCTCCTCCTCATAATAACTTACTATCTTTTCTGGAGTAACTTGACCAGGATTAAGAACCACATCATCTTTTGGATTCTCTTCCTCAAGCTCTTTTGTTATCAGATTATCTTGTTCATCGCAACTAAGAGTTTCAGTCTGCTTGATGAAGGACACAGGACTTTTGTTAGTTACTTGGATTGTTTTCTTCGGTATCTTTTTCACAAGTTCGTTCTCCTTCATGTCTTCAACTCGGAGATCCGACATAGAAGTAGCCGTGGAAAAGTTGAAAGGTGTCTCATAAGGGGTTCCCTCTGTACAATATGTTTTAACAGTATCTTCTTGTTCGCTGCCATGAAAGTACTCGGCGCTCTGTTTCTCTTCCTCGTCGGTGTCGTCCTCAGCATATCGCAAGCTGTAATCTGTGGGCTGATCGAGATCGGTTTCGGCATAGTCGCTGAATAAATCAACCTTGTTGTCGCACTTGTCAAACTCCTTCTTTAAGACGCGATTTGTTTGCGAGCCGTTGGCTAAACGTTGAGTTTGCGACGGAGCGTTTCTCTCGATGTATTTTTTGCTGTAATCCACTGGTTGATCGTTTAGGTCTTCGTCGTACGTCTCTGCGCCGTTCATGTCCATACTGATGACAGCGAGAAAATTCCGATAATGGGATTAACTAAGATGCATTGTAAAAAATACAATATACTAACTCATGATCTCTTAACAGAAAGTGATCATAAAAACGTACGTGAAGTAACTAGCGATTTACAACTCAACTGTTGCACGTGGTAATTCGATAAAAATATATTGAATGCGTTGAGAATTAAATTCCATTCCCGCAATAAACCTTTTAACACTCCCACATTAAAAGTTTTCCTACTTCCTGTATAAGTTTATATTGCAATCGAATCTCACAGTACAAACATCGTGAAAATAGTTCGAGTATCTTTCGTATTAAAAATACCTCGATGGGAGTGATGAAGTGAATGAAGCGAGTGAAGCGAGTAAGGTAAACAAAGAGGAGGAACAGCGATCAGTCTTTCTTTCTTTCTTCACGCCTGCGCAAAGTATTCCTAGAAACAATTGTTTAATGTAGGATAAATTTTTCAGAAGTGTCGGTTGACTGTGGGATAGAGAATTTCCAGGATTTTTCTACCAGATTAGCCAATCAGAACGTCTAAACGATTCGTCGCACAGATGGAATCAGAAGATTCAAATTGAGCATGCGTGATCGAGAACGCACCTGATTGGTCGTTGATATCACGCACGTGATTGGTGCATCGGTGCCGCGATGGTCGGGCGGAGGCTCTATCGATTTAAATTTGGTTTGCCGGTGCGCGTATCAATAGTGGACGCGGAGCCGTCGCCGCGGATTTTAGGGTTATTGTGGAGTTTATTTCTCAGTGACATTTAAGCCCTTTGCATGGCGAGTATGTCCGAGCAAAAGCAGCACAAGATGACAGGGGAAACGAGTGCGAACGAGCCGATTGAGTTTGAAAGCGCCGTGCCAAAAATCAGGTCAGTTTTGCATTCTCGGGTTCTCGCTCCACCGCGCCGAATGGATCCGAAAGCAGATGTACCCTATATATATATACATATATATATATATATATATATATATATATATATATATATATATATATATATATATATATATATAGT